CTCTCTTTCTTTCCTAAGGACTGACAACAACACGAATGGAAAATTGTAAAATGTCGCCGTTGAAAAAGAGGGAAGAGAAATGGGATAGTAGCGAGTGTAAAGTCGATACGAATTTGGCGGGGTAAACAAGTTTACGGCCAGACACAAACAAAAACAGCAAAAAAAAAAAACCAGGGGTACACAGGAAAAATTGTAATACTTGAAATATGTTCAAAGAAAAGCTTTTAGCTGTACTTAACATATAGACAATGAGTTTCAATGGGTGATTAGAGTCAATACTTGAAAAATGGTTAATATTGTAAAAGTATTTTCGAGAAAAAGGTTTTTTGATTTCAACTGTTTATAAATCCAAAAAGGAAATTCTTCTTTAGTATTGGTCCTAACGGTTGATACAAATTTGTATTAGGAACTGACATAAATGTTTTATCTTGTCTTATGGAAATTTTTCCAGTGCACTGCAACAACAGCAGAGACAACAAGATGACGCCAAGAAATGCAGATGAAGCTGACAGCAGCCAAACGACGACGATGTCGGTGCAATGTTCAATGCATATGGGTTTCTGCTCCATTTCCACATGGACGCCACTGCATTCAGTGGCTTCCCCTTAGCGTACCATTCCGAATCCGAATCCCAATCCCGAAACCCCGAACCTCAAACCCCAACAAACCCATCCCCATCAATTGAGGAACATGCAAGTAAGCAGCAGCAGGACGACGCCGATCTTTGGCTGCATAATTGCCAGTCTAAATCAATGGGGCGCAAGTTGTTGCCGCTGTGTGCATGTTGCTGTTGTTGTTGTTGTTGTCGGCGTTGCACCCATACATGACTCGGTCGGACTTCATTGTCAACGCCGTTTGCCATTGCCGTTTGCCGTCTCCATCGTCTCCATCGTCGGCATCTCCCCATCCCCATCCACATTCACATCCAGAAACCAACTCCATCTCCATCGCCATCGCCATCTCCATCTCCATGTCCCAAGTCTTATGTCCATGTCCGTCGCGGTCGTCGTCAATATTTGCCATGATCTTATCGTCAAGCGGAGTCATGTCGCTGCCATGGCTCTACTGCCGCTGCCCACGGCTACCCCCTTGAAAGCCCCCCTTTGCCACACCCCTGAGCAACAGCAGCAGTACTCACTTGGGTGCAATTATTTTTTAGATACACTCACCAAAGGAGATCCCTTGCCTGCAATGATTCAACTAACTGACAAGTTTATTATTAACTTTTTATTAATTTTAAGTAAACCTTTATACTTATTATACTGCTACAACAGACAACAACCTATTTTGAAGTCTGATGTATTGGTGTTTAAAAATTTAAATTTATGAAGACTATTATGACTATTTAAAAGTAAATATTTTAAATCTAAGGTGTTTTTTGCTTATAAGTAAACGTTTTATTTAAAAACCTTTGTTGTAATAAAAATAATTGTCCAATCTTAACAGTAAAAAAAAACTTGAAGATTTTAGATTTTATTTTTTAATTATAAATGCATCAAATACTAAACTTATAAAATTTTAAAGGGTTATTAAAGATGAATTACAGTATTTTACTACCTTTTAGATCTAGGGAAGGGTTTTTTAGATATACTGATCCAACGTCAGTGTATTTAAACTCTTTAATTTATACTGATCTCCTTCGATCTTCCCCTGGCTCCGCTGCACATCATCTTTGGTGCTGAGTTATGGCAAAAGACCTTGGACTTAAGCACTAGCGACGTCGATATTTCGTCGGCTCCCCTGATGCCGGTTACCTCTTCCCTGTCAGCTGGAAAGCAACCAAACGGTGCCGTCTCGCACCCGCACTCGTAACCAAGATGACTCCGCCAAAAGTTGCACCCCGGCCACCCCTCCTGCTCCGCCTCTGCCAATAGTGCAATTTGTCATTGCACCGTCAGCGACGACGCGTGCGCCAGCATGGAGACTCGAGTCACTGAGCTGCCGGCTGCTCCTCAGCCACTCTGCTTTAAGGCACTTAAAAAAAAAAAATAAGTTTTAAAGCAGAAATAACCATGAAATCGCATCCTAAATTTCAACACAAAATAATTAATTTACTGGTGATTGACACCAGCTACTCTTTTTTTCAATTTTAGCCTATTTACTCTGGGTTTAAGATTAAGAATCATTAAAAATTTTAAGTGGTATGCTAAATAATGAAAACACGGTATTACTATATCACTTCCTTTATAAAAAAGTTTGAATTAAATGTCTTCTTTAATTTTAGCTTAATTTTTTTATATCGGATAACTTGTCACCAAAACTGTATTTAGAGGTGCAAGTTAAATTAACTAAATATAACAAAAGGTCGTAACGTAAAACTCATTGTTTTTTTTTAAGCCCTATAACATTTTCAAGTTTTCATAACCTTTTAGTTCTACTAGAGGTGTTTTAAAAGATCAGGAAAACAAATGAAACATTTAAAAGAAAAATAATTTTAGAAAAATAAAATAAAGTAAAGGATTTTATGTTTCCTTTTTTTCGCACAGTGCTGTCTTGAGCTCCTTGGCCTCGTCATCTATCGCTGGCTGCCATCTGCTTACAGTTAAAGCGACTGTCGGTCGCCGAGCATCTAGCACCGAGCACCGAGCATCTCCTGCTGCGTTTTTGGTTTCGGTGGTGCTGCTCCACCAGTTGGTGGTGCTATTGCTATTGCTAGTCGGATGGGGCTAAGGCTGAGGCTGCGGCTGAAGATGGCGCTCCTTCGCGACGACTTCTTTATGGCTCTTGATTTTTATGATTTTGCTGTTTAATGGTTCATTTGTGGGCCTCCGCTGCGAGTGCGAGTCTGTGTCTAGCTTCCAGTTTTCTTATCGCTGCGTCTATATCTTTTTAGTTTTTTCAATATGTGTCTTATTTTATTTTATGTATATATATATTTTTTTTTGTGTAGTTTGCCATCGTCGCCAGTTTTGGGGACATGTCTGCCGGCTTAATCTCTCTCCTTGGTGTGCTATTTTTTTCAATTTTTGTATCTATTTCTTGGTAGCCTTTTTTCGGGGCCAACTTGTTAACCCAATCGCAGATTAAGGCCGGAATTTTGGTCAACAAAAAAGTTAGCTTGATTGAAAATGAATGCTGCATACTTTGAGGCTACCTTAAAGGGAAGGAGAAAACCAAAACTGGTTGTTAACATCAAACATTTAATGGTAGCCTCTAGATCTCCCCTAAAATGCTGAAACCCAATGCCATGATTATGCTAATGAGCCGTTGTTGACACGCTCACTGATCTCCGGATCTCTTGAATCTTCAGATCTCCATCATCATTAGCCCACCTTTCGGTTTACCATTTACCAACTCAGCGGCAAATCTCCAAGAGGAGGAGACTTCCTACAGACTCGTTTCGATCATGGCCATCGTTTGCTTGGGCCATTTGTTTAACTGCCGCTGTGACACCTCCTCTGCGTTGCAATCGAGGATGGGACGTGGATAGTTGGCCATGAAAACTGACGATGACGATGGCGAAGGCGCTGGCGATGGCTATGGCAATGGCAATGGGTAATGGATAATGGCGCCGCCTCCATTCAAAAATCACTTTATGGCTGCTGCGACTGCAGCTGAGGTTGCGTTGTCCATAATTGGACGCAGTGCCAATCATTTTAACAGCTACACAAACACGCAAACCGCCAAACCGGCTGCGATTGCTCCTCTTCGTTTTCCCCCACTCGATTCACTTCTTTCCTTAACCATGCTGATAATGCAAATATGAACGAAAAGTGCGCTTTCGACATTTAAACACCTCTTATTTAAGGTTTTTTCAGTTGTTACTGTTTCCAAACCACTTTTATATAATAAAAACATTATTAATTGAAATCACTAAGCTTGATTATTGGGTAAAATAAGCGGCTTAAATAATTTTATGTTGCTTAAAGTTCTTGAAATAGTTTGTCATAATAATAATTTACAAATATATATATTAGGGATGTTCTTTTCGATCCTTATTCAAATTAAACCTCTAGAAAATTCCCCAAAAGACCTCTTATGTCTGTGTTCTCATTTGTTACTTTTTCCAAACCACTTTTCATATAATTAAAATAGATGTGTATTTATGATCACGATAAGGATAAAAAAATGTATTATTTAGAGTGGTTTAAATAACATAAAGTAGCTTGAAATTCTTCGACTTGTTGAAACAGTTAAGACTCAAAAATATACAAAGGATATTTCGATGCTGACAAAATTGGCCCTAAAATACAGAAACCCAGAACAGAAAACTAGAACAGGGTATAATGAGTGGTAGTATGTGGAATGAGACAACTGCTGGCAACCACTTCAAAGCGGTCTGCAGTTACAGGACCAGGAGGAAGCCACTGTCTATTCATTTTAGTGCCAATCTCTTTCCCCACCGGCGAATTCTGGTTTGGTCTCAATGACAATTGGCGCCATAGCCGCGGGGTGCGTTTGGGGCCTGGTGTCTGGCTTTCGAGGATCGTTCCTTGCGTAGTTGGGTTGTTTGTTTATAATTAGCCCACTCGCTCGCCACCGACTGCCATTCAAATTGATGATGGCTACTGGTTTTGCTTGGCTTCCATTGCTATTTTTATGCTCGATCAATTTTCTAACAACCTTCGAGCCTCCACAGCGAAAAACAATTATCAAAATTAATAGGCAAATTCTCTATCTTTGGTATAGAAAATACTTTCAAAAGTTGGACATGTAGATGAATATCATTCGTTTGGTACTTATTAAATCTGGTTAAGTGACTGTAAAATTTTTGTATAAGTTTCTCTTTTGAAATGAACCCATTATATAATAAATAAATAAACTTAAGTAAACAATAAACTTATTATTATTTATTGATTGTCATAAAGATCATATTATATTTTATTGACTCTCATAAAGCATGCACTCGGTGCACCAGAGAAAGCATTTTCTGTAGCTGTAATTAGCATATAAAAGACAACATATGGTCGGTTGAAAATTATATTTTTCTTGTTGTGTATATCTTGTATGATCGGTCAAATTTCTAACAACTATACAATTTTTCTTTCATCTTTTTGCAGGCGGAAATGCTCATGGACGATGGTCTTCTTGGAGCGGGGCATGTTCTTGGATTGGCGGGACATCCGCATGGACTGGTGGGCGCCCTGGCCCCGCCCCCGCCTCCGCCGATGAAGCAGTCCCAAATGGACATTCCCAGTGGCAAGAAGCAGCAGCAGCAGCAGCAGCTAAAGGGGTCGTCGACGGCGGCCACGCCCGCGCTGGAGTATCAGTATCAGATTATGTATGCGCACTGTGTGCAGCAGCAGCAGCAGAGGGAGCGAGAAAGGGAAAGGGAGCGAGAGCACCTGCACCCTCTACCCCTGCCTCTGCCCTTGTCCCACCAGCATCGAGCCGTTCTGGTGGCCTCCGCCCCTCACCCACATGGACCGCACCACCACCCACCACCCGCGCTGAACTCGTCGTCGGCCTTCCGCCCTTGGGGACCCACCACCACCAAGGCTTTCCTGCATGCCTACAATGCCACGCTGTCTGCTCTACCCTACGCCTGCCAGGAACCCCCAGAGCTCCAGAATCCGGAGCGAGTGGTGCGGAGTACGGACAAGAGGTATGCGGAGAGGACCTACCAACCTAATGTGGCCTTGGCACCGCGCAAGAGCATACTTTGCAAGGAGCGGGACAAGGAGCGCGAGGTGATGGAGCGGCACAAGTTGCGGGAGAAGGAGCGAGCGGACCAGCAGGTGGTGCACATCAAGCAGGAACGATCGCAGACACCCACGCTCACACCCACGCACACACCCACAACATCGCCGGCCGAGGATGTGGCAGCACCGCTGGAGGTCGTCGAACCACCACACACCTCCTCGAGTGGCAGCAATTCACCACTACTCGCCCACCTGCCACTAACCGCCGCCGCCGCCGCCGCAGCAGCAGCAGCACCACCACCACCACCAGTCTGCGCCACAGCACCACCCAATGGAACAGCCGGTGCACCGGCGACAACCACTAACCTTCGGAACATGCGCAGTCCCGAGGAGTTTTCAGCGGGTGGCAGCAATGAGATTACCTCCTCCACCTCACCGCACCACCAGGTGGTGCAGCAATCGGCTGGAGCCCACCATCAAGCACCACCGTCGCAGCACATCATAGCCACCGTTAATCAGCATGCCAAACTTTTGCCCAGCTCCAGTTCCCTGCCCAATGGCAATGGCAGCAGTTCGTCGCTGGCAGCCACAAACAATGAACCGAGTCGGATTCGGATCAACAAGAACCTGATGATGACCCATCAGTTGCCAGTGGGCATCGGCATGGCCCCACATCACCATCACCATAGCCACCATAGCCACCAGCACCAGCACCACCATCCAACGCACATGCATCACTACAGCCATGGGTACTACAAGCCCAGTCAGGCCACCTCACCCACCCAGTCCTCCAGTGCCGGGCTGAACCTGAGCACACATTCGTCGAATGTGGTCAGTTCGCACCACCATCAGAAGTCGCAGCATAGCAGTTCAGCCGGAGCAGGCCTGCCGAATGGCAAGCCCCATCTGGGCAGTGAGTTTGAGTTGTCCACGGACACCGATGACACGGACAGTCTGAATGGTGAGCCCGATTCGAGTGCCATGCTACCGCCCTGGGAACAGGCAGTGGAGTCTCTGAGGGAAACTCGACCCAGGGATCGGGAGCGGGTGCTGCAAATGCTGCAGCGGTTGCTGCAGGAGAATCAACAGTATCGATACAACAACATCCAATTGAGTGAGCTGCTCCACAAGCAAGATGCCCACATAGCCGATCTTACGGAGCAACTGCAACGGTATCGCCGACAATTCGAGGAGCAGGACTGCAAAGTGGATCTGCGCAAGATGCCATTCAAGCAACAAACTCGACTGGCTGAGGGGAGTCGCGGGGAGCCAGAGGAGGAGATGGAGGAGGAGCTAGAGGAGGACCTGGAGGAGGAGGAAATGGAGGACAGAGCTAATAACAATAATCAGCAGGAGCTATCGCCACTGATAAAGCCCCCGACAAATGGCCTGCGACGAAGTGCCACGCCCCTCAACTGTTGTGGCAGTGAGGGCGATGAGTTCGAGAAGCGAGATGAGCCGGAAAACAAAAGAATGAAGCTGCAGGAAGAGGAGAAAATTCAGGAGGAAAGTCCCTCAAACAATTCAGAGCCAGAGGATTTGCAGAAAGACCAAGAAAATGGCGAGAAATCCCCTCCAAATGATAGTCTTAAAAGTCCCCAGCCCAGTCAAATCTCCAGCGACGAGGAAATGGAGGAAGATGACGATGAAGACGACGACGACGATGGGGAGGATGGGGATGAGGATGAGGATGAAGTGGTTCAGATACAAGCTCCCCACAGTAGTGCACTGGCCACGCCCCCCACGGCAACAACGCCCCTTTCACCGGACTCCGCGGCAACTGCCGGCCAATTGTTCGATAGCAGCAATAGCAGCGATGAGTCATCGATGAAGAAGGCCCAAATGTCCGCCTGCCATGCACTGGAAAAAATCAGCAGTAATGTTGCCAGTGAGGAGAACAACCAAAGGCTTGAAGAGGAGAGTCAGGAGGAGGAGGAAGCGGAGGCGGAAGAAGAGGATCCAGATGAAGAGGACTCCGATGACGATGAGATGCCATTGCAGCAGCGACAGCAGCAGCAACGCCAGCGTGTGGCTCCCCAGACAATGGTCAGTGGATCAGCCCCCGCACCACCGGCCCCACCACATCCACATCCCCCAATGGCCACCAAGGCCAGCAAGAAGCAAACGCCACCAGCACCACCACCCACAACAACCACATCAGCCACAGCATCAGCATCGACAACGAACTGCGAGTTACAAATCAAAAAGGAAATAGCCTAGAGATAAATAAATACCCCAGAAACCTCTCAGAGAAAAGCTCTTTCACACACACACACACACACACACACACACACACACACACACACACACACACACACACACACACACACACACACACACACACACACACACACGAAAAAACAATTAAATCTTAGTTAAGATCCCCATTTTATTTGGAGAACAGAGTGCAGCCCAAATTCAAGCACAAAGTAGTAACGCACATATTGTCCACTTAGGAGCAGTGTTAATTATAAAGAAAGCAAATCTTTTGCAAATAGGGGGAATAAAGTATGGCTCGACATTTTTAGGTAATGGTTTTCAAAATATCTGCATTGAAAAACTGGCTTTTTAATTGTTACTCGTTTTATATCAGGGGACTACGATTTGGATTTTAATTACCTTTAGATATTTTGTGAGTCAAAATTTGTAAAAGCCTTTTTTTAAATGAACAGAAATTTGTGAAATCTATGCCGAAATAGAAACAAGGAATTCCTTAATTTTCAACACATAACATTTCCCCTAAAACAAAAAACCAATTAAAATTTTTAAATGTTTTTCAAATCGCTTTTACATAGCTTGAATTGATCTCACTTATATGAACAAAAAGGACAAAAGCAAACTTATTTAGGCTTACCCAATTCGAAAATCTTTCAGCGTTGCTTGCAGAAATTATAAATGAAACCAAAGCTTTAAAAAAAATTTTATTTTTGTATATTGTTCAACGACCAATTTGTGCGTAAGTATTACACTTACAGCTAAACCTAAATAAGTTATTATTTTTTAATAACTTGTAAGCTCTGCAAGACATTTAAACCCAAAATAATATTCAAATCGAGGCTTTTAAAGCGAAATTTAGAAAAGTTTTTTCTTTGGTCAGACAGGCAGCTGGTTCTTATGAAGCAGGAGAATATACCCTGCAAACCAATGTAATTACATTAAGTTGGACCCTAACTTTAAGTTGAACAGACAATTTGATAGAGCAAAGAGAGAGGGCACACAAAATGAACCCACCACAGATAACAACAGCAAAATTAATGCTAAACAATTCTAACATAATAATTATTAAAAAAACAAAAACAAATATTTATGATTAAGATGTTGCCGCGTTAAATTATACAATACAAATATGAGTAATATTCTACGATATATGATAGATAATGAGCAGCATGTGCGAGAGTATGAATTAATGCTAAGCCTTCACGAAAAGCATAAGCATATATACATAACATAAATAAAGATTAATATTTATTGTAGCTGCTAGATCTAATTCGAGCAATTCTCTTATCTGTACAATTATAGTCTTCTGTTCTTCTTCACCTTGTAAGCTTTGCTCTGTAGGCATTTAGTTTCGTAGATCGTAACACATTTGCTAACTAGTTAGTAAGGCTTTTCTATGGCTCAGTTCTTTGTCTATTGTGAATGGCATCGAATGGTCATCAGTTTTTTGTAAATATTATTTTCCCCTCGACAAGATTAGAGTACAACGGATTTAAGTTGCCAACACTTTGTGAGAAACATATGTATATGCTAGATAACTTCTGGATGATAACCAACTAAAAACAAACCCAAGCCAAGAGCCAAGCGAAAAGAGCGCAGAGATTTCAAAAATCTATAAACTTTTGTTATAAAAACATATTTCATAAATTATTTATGCCTGTGTGTGTTTGTACTTTTTAAAAGAAAACATTTCGTTCTGTATTTAAGAATACAAGTTCTAAGCTAAATTAAAACAAAAATAAAACAAATGCAAACATTTAAACAAATTCAATCCAAAATTTGTCTAGATCATAAGCTAAAATTTTGTAAAATTGTATAAATTTAAACAATCGATACCACGAAACATTTAAATCGTAAATAAAACTTTTATGAACCATTGAAATTGAGATATGAAACATGAAAAAATCCATTGTTATGCATATTTAAAGAAGTTACATAAAACATATGCATCAAAAAACACAAAAAACAAATTACGATTGCTATGCAAAAAAAAAAAAAACAAAAATATACAAATTATTGTAAATTAATTCTCTCCAATTTTGTGTTTCATTTGCCAGACCAGAAACAGTACGATAATAAACGAATTACATTACATAAATTATAGAACACAGCAAAACAGAACGATACCGAGTAAATAGGGACGAAACATGGTTAATCAAAAACGTCAAAACGGTTTTCAGCAAATTTCGTGTATTTATGGCCAAATTTTACAAAACGATGAAAATAGTTGAGCATACAGAGACGAGAAAAACCCAAACATTTTTTGTATAATTTTTGCTAACAACCCAAAGAGATAAACAACAAAACAAACAATCATTTTTATAATTAAACGATTAAAATATATTGACAAATTTTACATAACCCGAGTGTTTATATATGACATATTATATATTTAAATTTAAATACGAGATAGAACGATGCCCAGCAAAACATAAGCATCTTTGCCCGCTTAATAAATCGACTTGATATTGTTAAAACTTTAACGTGCAAAGGCTAAGCAACCAGAAGAACAAGAAATCACAAAATAATGGCATAAGTTATATATTAATTAATTAAGCATGCAGCAACAAATCCGCGTCTTGTCAAAATACAACATATACATAATTATATGTCTGACGATTCAGAATGCAGAAATAAAATGTACAAATTGTGGAGCAAATAAACAATAGAAAATATAGTGAGAATTCGGGGAGGAGTATGAACGAAAACATCAAATGAAATGCACCACATGCAAAAAAAGTTTAATCAAATTAAACAGTTAATAAAAAAACAAATTTGACTTCAACGTTTCATATTTAAGTAGTGCAGAAACAAATAAATACAAAGGAAAAACAAAAATAAATTATTACACATGTAATGAAAACAAAAACAACAAATATAAAAGCGATAAATATTATGCAAAATAGATCAACGTGATTTTAATTTGCCAGGGGAAAGCTACGGGAAGTTTTTATTAGTAAACAGAGTACAATTCAACTTCAGGAAAACGTACAAATTTTATTTTATAAAACTTACTTTATTTGTGTCATGCACTCTATTGTTTTTTTTTTCAGAATCTCCTTAAAACTTTTTAAAATCGGAAGGGGTTGAAGAAAAAATATTTTATTTTGTATTACCAAGCTGTGATCCCGAAGCTGCTTCCTACAAAAAAATAAATCTGTGTTGGAAATATATTAAAAAATTTGTATAGACTATTTCATGCCAAAAATTTAGTTTTATTAGAAGAGTTCTAAAAATCTTTTAAATTTGAAATAACTATCTAAAAATTTAAGCCATGTAAACAAATAAGTTTTCAACTACCAATTTAGTTTTTATTTTGCTTAAATTTTTAAAGTGTTTAAATTAAATTATCGACAGCTTGATTGGCCACTTCCACTGTTTTTCGAATTGGCCATTTCAGACTTTATACCCACGTAGATATCATGTAGAAGTAATGATTTGGTAAGTTAACGCTAGATGTCGCCCGTATTCTACATGATGTGGTCTATTTCCTAAAAGTATACAATTATGACTCGAATATATAATATGATGTTTATTTTATATCTTTAGAAACAATAAATTCAAAAGCGGTTAATTTAAATATATTTTTTTCTTTGGACAACAAATAAGATTTTAAATTTTCTGATATTTTTGACTTAATAAATTTATTCATCCGCCTGGCAAATAAAATTGTGAAATGCGGTACAACCGTCCACCCACATCCCACCATTATGCATGGTTACGCAACGCTGATCTGGGTGTGCGTAATTGGGCTCACCAGGTTTCCACTTCAAGAAGGGAGCGTTCTTTCCGGAGGACTCAGAAATGAACACGCCCTTTTTAGCCAGATCGTTAATGCCCAGCATATAGCTTATATTTGGAAGAAGTTTTCCACTGATTGCGTTAAATTCCCTCTCATTTTGGATAGTGGCCAACTGGCCACCCATCTGGTTGCAGGTGGTTATAGCACTGGTCCAGTTCTGTTTTTGATTATCTTCGATGTAAAAATATCGGGATCCGATTTGTTCGAACTTGGAAGGTATGGTCTTTCTCGTATTCAGTTTCAATGTTTCCAGAGACATCTTTATGCTGGTCAGAGTTTCCTGGATGGCCGATAATTTACCCTCCATCTTCATTTGTCTAGCTTGTAGTTGAACCTCCATCTTCTCCCGTGAAACTTGAAAGCCCTCCGAAATGATCTTCTTCCAAGATTCCTTCAGTGATGTTTCCTGGTTTTCAATCTGAATCTTTATTGCTGTCTGTTGGCCCTCGATTCTTTCCAATTTAGCCTGCGTCTCGTTTAGTTTGACATTATCGCAGGTTTTCCACTGGTCCTGGTGCTTGGCAATGTGATCAATCAAGGGCATCAGGGCGGTGAGGCAAAACTCCCCGCATTGATTCGGAGGGTCCTGCAATAGGCATATGTTACGGCCACTTTCCTTCGATATTGCCAGTGATACGTTCAGGACCATGACCACAAGCACATAGAAAAAAACATTTGTCGACTTGGACATGTTGACAGAGTTAAACCACTGGAGACGAAAGCTTAAATTGCACTGACTGCACGATTGAGCCTTTAAACGAGTCATAAATTTATATTGATAAGAACGACTATATATTTATACAAATATATGACTATATGTGGGATTTATATATGAGTGATAAAATCGCTACAGGCGACTGAAAAGCATTTTCAGGGTCGCGAATTGCACAATGGGAACTGAAAAGAAACATTCTAAAGCGATAATTTGTATATAAATAAGTCTTATTCACGGTAACTTTTTTTTATTGTTTTAAGAACTATTTTATAGAAATATTAAATATTATTGAACGGACAAAATTTAAAAATATCTAAAAATGCTTCAAAATAAAAACTCTGGTTATATTCACCCAACGTTTTTTTTTAGTTTGGTGTATAAATTTTTGTTTGGACCCAAGAATTAGCGCTCATTGGACAAATAGCTTGAATATACCGTTAACACGTGTTCTTTCTTACGCAAAAGTGATAGAAACGGATCAGCTTATAATAAGATCACCGTATTTAGCAACCGCATCGGTTCTTTTATGTATATTTGTATACTCTTTGAAAATAAACCGAGGTTTAGAAAAGAGAATACCTCTTTAATAAAATTAATCAAAACAAAAGTGCAATAGAAATGTTCAAAACAGACCTATGAGTAAATTTGAAAATTTTTAATTTAGTTAAATTTAATATATCTTAAAAATATATCAAACTTTTAATGACTGAATGTTCTGGCTGCGGTTGACCTTTCTGAAGAGTTTCCCGTATAAAGGAATGCATCAAAAAGTGATACCTTGTTAAGCTCCATGGCGAATTGGCGTAGCTTTTTCTGTTAGGATATAACGTATATATACTGACCGCTCTGCAAACTCTTATTAGCTTGCAGCAAATTTAAAAATGAAGTGTTTGGGTAAGTGGAAAATTATATTTAATCCAGAACAAGTCAATAGCTTTGCTTCAGGTCTGCTTTTCTTGGCAGTGTCAGTGGCCGGCCGCTTTACGGATGACTTGTACAAACTTTTGGGCAAAGAAAATGGAGACAAGAATCTTATATGCTCCCCCCTTTCCGTCGAAATCGCCATGAGCATGGTCTACATGGCAGCTGAGGGAAATACAGCCGCAGAACTGAGGAAAGTCCTGAAACTGCCCGCCGATAAGAAGGAAGTGTCCAAAAAATACAAGGAGCTTTTGACAGGTCTCGAAGGGCGTGAAAAGGTGGCCATCCTTGATTTGGCTAACCGCTTGTACGTCAACAATAAGTTCCAGCTGGTTCCGGAGTACAATCAGGTGGTCAGGGACTCCTTTAAGGCCGAAGCGGAGGCTATAAGCATGGCAAATCCAGGCAATGCAGCTTCCATTATCAACAAGTGGGTCAACGATCAGACGAGTGGCAGGATAAAAAATATAATCTCATCCACTGATATAACCTCGGATCTCGTAGTTGTACTCCTGAATGCTATTTACTTTAAGGGCCAGTGGAAGTACAAGTTCGACCCAAAAATTACACAGAAAGCCGATTTCCAAGTTACACAAAAAAATCGCCTTCCTGTCGAGATGATGTCACAAACTGGCGCATTTAGGGCGGCAGATTTAAAATCTTTAGATGCCAAAGTGATTGAGCTTCCTTACCGGAATTCAAGCCTATCAATGCTTATATTTTTACCCAACAAAGTCGATGGTCTGCAGGAATTGGAGAGCAAAATCGCCGGCTTTTCCGGGCCCTTACAAGAATTGAGAGTGAGATTGAAGCTGCCCAAGTTCAAAATCGAATTTTCTGCAGACCTAATCAAATTTCTTGAAAAGGTGGGTGTGTCCTTAAAGTTATATAGTTATATATAATCAATTATATAATTAAATCTTATAGATGGGCATACGAGAGGCATTCAGCAACTCAGCAAAATTAAGCGGCCTGGTATCAAAACCAGCGGTTAAGATCGGTAAAGTTTTTCAAAAGGCCTTCATAGAGGTCAATGAAGAGGGGGCCGAGGCAGCGGCTGTAACAGGTAATATAGGTTTGATGAGTATTTTGAATATTTAACAATATATATTAAAATCCGCAGCTTTAAAGATTATTATAAGGAAAGGTCCATCGCCTGACATGGAATTTATTGCCGATCATCCATTTGCCTACGTCATTCGAGATGAAAACACCATTTACTTTCAGGGACACTTTGTAAAGCCAGGGAAATGAAATATATAAAAAGTATAAAATTCCTAAGCCGCTTTAAGTTCTTGAATTTTTATTTAAATTGTGTGTCTATTTGAACTTGATGTGAAATTGAGTGTGGTTTCATAGAGTTTACACAACTATATACAATTTCATTCATTCATAATTCCTTATGTTGGTACATATTTGTAATCCCTAGCTAACTCCTATGATAAAAGAGCATCTCGAGAGAGTGCAAAAACTAATTTCATTTACCTGTTTGGGATAAAAATGAAGCAAGAGCCAAAAGAGCGACCTGGCCAAAGTCTCCTCTTTGTATGAATGATTGATTATACATTTTCAAAAATAAGTTGAGCTATAATAACATGATAATCATGAGTCTGCCTCAATTAATCGATGATCTTCAGCGCCTTTCCGAGGATCAGGATAGTGCGGATGTGATATTTATTTGTGGCAGAGATGAACGCATTTATGCCCACAGATTGATGCTGATGGCCCGGTAAGTTTTTAGTCATATGTTATTAAATTTATTTTAATTAGACTAATTTTGAAATATGTATTTAATCCTTGTGTTGATCATATTTGGTTACTGAAGATTTTTGATGAGTATTCCAAAAATGAACTATTATTTTTTGACATCCTTTGTTGAACGCGACAAACTTTAAAACTGCTTCAAAATAAAAACTCTGGTTATATTTACCCAACGTTTTTTTTTAGTTTGGTGTACAAATATTCGTTTGGACCCAAGAATTAGCGCTTATTGGACAAATAGCTTGAATATACCGTTAACACGTGTTCTTTCTTACGCAAAAGTGATAGAAACGGATCAGCTTATAATAAGATCACCGTATTTAGCAACCGCATCGGTTCTTTTATGTATATTTGTATACTCTTTGAAAATAAACCGAGGTTTAGAAATGAGAATAATTAAAACAAAAGTGCAATAGAAATATTCAAAACAGACCTTTCGCACTCTTTTATGAGTAAATTTAAAAATTTTTAATTTAGTTAAATTTAATATATCTTAAAAATATATCAAACTTTTAATGACTGAATGTTCTGGCTGCGGTTGACCTTTCTGAAGAGTTTCCCGTATAAAGGAATGCATCAAAAAGTGATACCTTGTTAAGCTCCATGGCGAATTGGCGTAGCTTTTTCTGTTAGGATATAACGTATATATACTGACCGCTCTGCAAACTCTTATTAGCTTGCAGCAAATTTAAAAATGAAGTGTTTGGGTAAGTGGAAAATTATATTTAATCCAGAACAAGTCAATAGCTTTGCTTCAGGTCTGCTTTTCTTGGCAGTGTCAGTGGCCGGCCGCTTTACGGATGACTTGTACAAACTTTTGGGCAAAGAAAATGGAGACAAGAATCTTATATGCTCCCCCCTTTCCGTCGAAATCGCCATGAGCATGGTCTACATGGCAGCTGAGGGAAATACAGCCGCAGAACTGAGGAAAGTCCTGAAACTGCCCGCCGATAAGAAGGAAGTGTCCAAAAAATACAAGGAGCTTTTGACAGGTCTCGAAGGGCGTGAAAAGGTGGCCATCCTTGATTTGGCTAACCGCTTGTACGTCAACAATAAGTTCCAGCTGGTTCCGGAGTACAATCAGGTGGTCAGGGACTCCTTTAAGGCCGAAGCGGAGGCTATAAGCATGGCAAATCCAGGCAATGCAGCTTCCATTATCAACAAGTGGGTCAACGATCAGACGAGTGGCAGGATAAAAAATATAATCTCATCCACTGATATAAACTCGGATCTCGTAGTTGTACTCCTGAATGCTATTTACTTTAAGGGCCAGTGGAAGTACAACTTCGACCCAAAATTTACACGGAAAGCCGATTTCCAAGTTACAAAAACAAATCGCCTTCCTGTCGAGATGATGTCACAAACTGACTCATTTAGGGCGGCAAATTTGAAATCTTTAGATGCCAAAGTGATTGAGCTTCCTTACCGGAATTCAAGCCTATCTATGCTTATATTTTTACCCAACAAAGTCGATGGTCTGCAGGAATTGGAGAGCAAAATCGCCGGCTTTTCCGGGCCCTTAAAAGAATTGAGAGTGAGATTGAAGCTGCCCAAGTTCAAAATCGAATTTTCTGCAGACCTAATCAAATTTCTTGAAAAGGTGGGTGTGTCCTATATGTGTTACATATTTATATTTAATCAATTATATAATTAAATCTTATAGATGGGCATACGAGAGGCATTCAGCAACTCAGCAAAATTAAGCGGCCTGGTATCAAAACCAACGGTTAAGATCGGTAAAGTATTTCAAAAGGCCTTCATAGAGGTCAATGAAGATGGTGCCGAGGCAGCGGCAGTAACAATGGTTCAAGGTAATATAGGTTTGATTAGTAATTTGAATATTTAACAACATATATCAAAATCCGCAGTTGTACGGCTTTCTGCAGTTCCGTTGCCTGACATGGAATTTATTGCCGATCATCCGTTTGCCTACGTCATTCGAGATGAAAACACCATTTACTTTCAGGGACACTTTGTAAAGCCAGGGATGTGAAATATGTGAAAAGTATAAAATTCCTAAACCGCTTTAAGTTCTTGAGCTTAGCATTTCATATAACAGTTAAAAACTGGCAAAAAAGGAGACCATTTTCATCATACACAACTAAATACAATTCCATTCATTCATAATTCCTTATGTAGGTACATACTTGACATCCCTAGCTAACTCCTCTGATAAAAGAGCATCATCATTTACCTGTTTGGGATAAAAATGAAGCAAGAGCCAGAAGAGCGACCTGGCTCAAGTCTCCTCTTCAGTCTGCACCAAATCGCGATCGCGAGAGGAACGAAAAGCGGTGAAATAAATGCATATTCTGTGCATCAAAAATCTTTCGTCTTTTGATACAAATTTGTAATTAAAATTTTTAAATTGAACAGTCTACAACTACTAAGCAATTTGTGAAAATAAATTCCATTTAATCTGGTTGTAATTGTTTTCCCAGATCTTTTTGTTTGCCAAATCGATTGAGGCTTGGTGTTGGCCAAGAATTTTCAGTCAAGAACCGGTTTCTTCGCTTCCAACAAATTTAAAGTCTTCAAGAGAGAAATTAAGAGAGTTTTAAGCGGGACGTGGAAGTGAAAACATAAACAAGCCCCTTACCAAAATAAAAGACAATAACAAGTGTTTGAAGAGGAACATGGCAACACGTGCATTTTTGCATGAATGATTGATTATACATTTTCAAAAATAAGTTGAGCTATAATAACAAGATAATCATGAGTCTGCCACAATTAATCGATGATCTTCAGCGCCTTTCCGAAGATCAGGATAGTGCGGATGTGGTATTTATTTGTGGCAGAGATGAACGCATTTATGCCCACAGATTGATGCTGATGGCCCGGTAAGTTTTTAGTTATATGTTATTAAATTTATTTTAATTAGACTAATTTTGAAATATGTATTTAATCCTTGTGTTGATCATATTTGGTTACTGAAGATTTTTAATGAGTATTCCAAAAATGAACTATTATTTTTTGACATCCTATGTTGAACGGGACACACTTTAAAACTGCTTCAAAATAAAAACTCTGGTTATATTCACCCAACGTTTTTTTTTTAGTTTGGTGTATAAATATTTGTTTGGACCCAAGAATAAGCGCTCATTGGACAAATATCTTGAATATACCGTTAACACGTGTTCTTTCTTACGCAAAAGTGATAGAAACGGATCAGCTTATAATAAGATCACCGTATTTAGCAACCGCATCGGTTCTTTTATGTATATTTGTATACTCTTTGAAAATAAACCGAGGTTTAGAAATGAGAATACCTCTTTAATAAAATTAATCAAAACAAAAGTGCAATAGAAATGTTCAAAACAGACCTTTAGCACTCTTTAGACTTCGCATTGACTTATTTTAAAACGTTTTATGAGTAAATTTGAAAATTTTTAATTTAGTTAAATTTAATATATCTTAAAAATATATCAAACTTTTAATGACTGAATGTTCTGGCTGCGGTTGACCTTTCTGAAGAGTTTCCCGTATAAAGGAATGCATCAAAAAGTGATACCTTGTTAAGCTCCATGGCGAATTGGCGTAGCTTTTTCTGTTAGGATATAACGTATATATACTGACCGCTCTGCAAACTCTTATTAGCTTGCAGCAAATTTAAAAATGAAGTGTTTGGGTAAGTGGAAAATTATATTTAATCCAGAACAAGTCAATAGCTTTGCTTCAGGTCTGCTTTTCTTGGCAGTGTCAGTGGCCGGCCGCTTTACGGATGACTTGTACAAACTTTTGGGCAAAGAAAATGGAGACAAGAATCTTATATGCTCCCCCCTTTCCGTCGAAATCGCCATGAGCATGGTCTACATGGCAGCTGAGGGAAATACAGCCGCAGAACTGAGGAAAGTCCTGAAACTGCCCGCCGATAAGAAGGAAGTGTCCAAAAAATACAAGGAGCTTTTGACAGGTCTCGAAGGGCGTGAAAAGGTGGCCATCCTTGATTTGGCTAACCGCTTGTACGTCAACAATAAGTTCCAGCTGGTTCCGGAGTACAATCAGGTGGTCAGGGACTCCTTTAAGGCCGAAGCGGAGGCTATAAGCATGGCAAATCCAGGCAATGCAGCTTCCATTATCAACAAGTGGGTCAACGATCAGACGAGTGGCAGGATAAAAAATATAATCTCATCCACTGATATAAACTCGGATCTCGTAGTTGTACTCCTGAATGCTATTTACTTTAAGGGCCAGTGGAAGTACAACTTCGACCCAAAATTTACACGGAAAGCCGATTTCCAAGTTACAAAAACAAATCGCCTTCCTGTCGAGATGATGTCACAAACTGACTCATTTAGGGCGGCAAATTTGAAATCTTTAGATGCCAAAGTGATTGAGCTTCCTTACCGGAATTCAAGCCTATCTATGCTTATATTTTTACCCAACAAAGTCGATGGTCTGCAGGAATTGGAGAGCAAAATCGCCGGCTTTTCCGGGCCCTTAAAAGAATTGAGAGTGAGATTGAAGCTGCCCAAGTTCAAAATCGAATTTTCTGCAGACCTAATCAAATTTCTTGAAAAGGTGGGTGTGTCCTATATGTGTTATATATTTATATTTAATCAATTATATAATTAAATCTTATAGATGGGCATACGAGAGGCATTCAGCAACTCAGCAAAATTAAGCGGCCTGGTATCAAAACCAGCGGTTAAGATCGGTAAAGCTTTTCAAAAGGCCTTCATAGAGGTCAATGAAGATGGTGCGGAGGCAGCGGCAGTAACAATGGTTCAAAGTAATATAGGTTTGATTAGTAATTTGAATATTTAACAACATATATCAAAATCCGCAGTTGTACCGGTATCTGCAGTTCCGTTGCCTGACATGGAGTTTATTGCCGATCATCCGTTTGCCTACGTCATTCGAGATGAAAACACCATTTACTTTCAGGGACACTTTGTAAAGCCAGGGATGTGAAATATGTGAAAAGTATAAAATTCCTAAACCGCTTTAAGTTCTTGAGCTTAGCATTTCATATAACAGTTAAAAACTGGCAAAAAAGGAGACCATTTTCATCATACACAACTAAATACAATTCCATTCATTCATAATTCCTTATGTAGGTACATACTTGACATCCCTAGCTAACTCCTCTGATAAAAGAGCATCATCATTTACCTGTTTGGGATAAAAATGAAGCAAGAGCCAGAAGAGCGACCTGGCTCAAGTCTCCTCTTCAGTCTGCACCAAATCGCGATCGCGAGAGGAACGAAAAGCGGTGAAATAAATGCATATTCTGTGCATCAAAAATCTTTCGTCTTTTGATACAAATTTGTAATTAAAATTTTTAAATTGAACAGTCTACAACTACTAAGCAATTTGTGAAAATAAATTCCATTTAATCTGGTTGTAATTGTTTTCCCAGATCTTTTTGTTTGCCAAATCGATTGAGGCTTGGTGTTGGCCAAGAATTTTCAGTCAAGAACCGGTTTCTTCGCTTCCAACAAATTTAAAGTCTTCAAGAGAGAAATTAAGAGAGTTTTAAGCGGGACGTGGAAGTGAAAACATAAACAAGCCCCTTACCAAAATAAAAGACAATAACAAGTGTTTGAAGAGGAACATGGCAACACGTGCATTTTTGCATGAATGATTGATTATACATTTTCAAAAATAAGTTGAGCTATAATAACAAGATAATCATGAGTCTGCCACAATTAATCGATGATCTTCAGCGCCTTTCCGAGGATCAGGATAGTGCGGATGTGGTATTTATTTGTGGCAGAGATGAACGCATTTATGCCCACAGATTGATGCTGATGGCCCGGCAAGTTTTTAGTTATATGTTATTACATTTATTTTAATAAGACTAATTTTGAAATATGTATTTAATCCTTGTCTTGATCATAATTAGTTACTGAAGATTTTTAATGAGTATTCCTTTCAATTGAAATTTAGTTCGAGTCCCCCAGTTAATTTTTTATTTCTTTGTGAAAGAGATGATTGGCTCCATTCGATTTCCTTTTAGGGAACTTACAATGTTGCGTGCTGGAATCTCGCGCATTCCAGTTGGTCACTCAATTAATTTGTGCTGTCTGTCCATTCACTCAATTCGATTTCAGTTGCAAGAGTTTCAAGACCGCCAAGAGAGGAGAAGTGTGTAGAATTCCCGGATGCACAGTTTCCCCAGCGGCCCCAGGAGCTTCCACTCCGACTACCATACGATTGCCACACGTGAATCCGGAACTGTTTAGGCAGTTTATCTTGTATGTCTACACAGCAAAGGTAAAAAAGATAACTAGAGCTCTCACTTATTTTTTTGTATAAAAAAAAAACAATCATTTTCAGTTGGTTCTTCAGGACTCGCAAGTATTTCAAATGATGATGATGGCCCAGGATATGGGCGTGGTTGAGCTACGTACCGCCTGTGAGGATCACGTTATATCCACTTTATCGGTGGATAATGCCTGCACGTTTTTAACGGCCGTTATGGATATACACGAAAAAGCAGGTAATGAATAAAATTAAAATTTTAAATTCCGCGCCAATGTGCACTCTACATTTGACATAACTTCTTAGGTCAAATGTAACAACATGAACAATCCGAAAACAGGTTTAGTATATTAAGTTAACAGGCGCAAGCACACCACTTCACCAATCGATAGTAATATCAAATGCACGTTGTGTTATCAGAATCACGTAACACACGTAATGCATGTTTTTATTGCATTATTAAACTGTATATATTACAACTAATCAATAGCTGGCAGATGTAGTTAGTCCCGATCTGCACCAAAATGCAGAAGCCAATGTTTGTCTCTAGAAATTGGATTGTTCACGTTGTAATCTTTGACCGTACGTCCGCGAGATGAGGTTCCACGAGTCCATAAACCGGTCCATGCACATGGAAATGCATTTCTACACAGAATAGTTTTGATTATACTGGATGCTAGGACAAGTGATAAGCCATATCTTACCTGTTCCGACGAATCGAGCGAGGTTCCCGGCTTATTGACACACTTTTTAAAGCACTTCTGCGTCATTTGGTTGAGCAATTCCTGGGCATTCGCAACGGCAATCTGTTGCTTCACCTGGTCCATAAGTTCTCCCTTATCCACATTCGCCATGGCCATTTGTTTTGTTTGATACAAACTTTAGTTTAATTCAGCTAGGAAATTTGGCAATACTTTAGCCACCAACCACAAAAACTTAACAGTGGGGTGGCGATAGTTTATTTATAAACGTATATCGATACGTCTCTGGTATATTTTAATATATTTAGGTATACTTCTGCATTACCTCTGTTACTTTTAGTGTGGCCGTTTGTGTGTGATTAAACTTTTTTTTATATGGAGGATGTTAAATTTCGGAAGATGTTAAGAATTTTAGCAGAGTGTGTGCAGAAATGGAGTGAAACCAGGCTAAGTGTGCAACAACTGGAGTGAGAAGTTAAAAGTGGCCAGAAAATATCGTGAGAGTCGGATAAACATCGATAATCTCGAAAAGTTGAACCAGCAGAGAAGACGGGTAAATATCGATAATCCCTGCCAAGCATCGATAAGACCGATGTTTTGAATCGATGTTGTATCGATGTTTCTCCACCGCTACTGTGCCTGAACAAAAAGAAGACGCCGGCAAAAAGAAACGAAAATTTGTTAAACTGAATTAAAGCCGCCGAAAACCAGAAAAAATGTCGTTCAAGGGCAATCCCAAGGTGCAGAAGGTGATGGTGCAACCCATCAACCTGATCTTCCGGTACCTGCAGAACCGTTCCCGCGTGCAGGTCTGGCTGTACGAGAACATATCGCTGCGCATCGAGGGGCACATCGTGGGATTCGACGAGTACATGAATCTGGTGCTAGACGATGCAGAGGAGGTCTACGTGAAGACCCGCCAGCGCAGGAATCTGGGAAGGATCATGCTGAAGGGCGACAACATCACGCTCATACAGAACGTCAGTCCCACAAAGGACTAGGGACACAGCCCCTATCCTACCAATTCCACCTGCGACAGCTGCACGTCCTAAATATAAGTTAAATAAATGTAAAGCCGAAATTTGAAGACGAATGTTCAAATAAAAAGGTAGACTTTCTTAAAGCGTAAGACTTTTCAATGGGTTAGGTAAAAGATTAGAATGCATACAGGACGATTTCAGGGAATATTTATTTAAAATAAGAAGTCTTCGAAAGGTAAAGGTCTTTTATTTCCACAAAGTAAATTCTTGGCTAATAACACTAAACTCTCCCTTTTTACAGGTGCCAAATGCGCTGCCTCGTTTATGGAACGCTGCATCATCTTTATAGGCGAAAATGCCAACGAGTGCGTCAAGACTAATGCGTTCCTTACTCTGACCAAGGATGCAATCATCAAGATTATTTCATCCGACTATGTAAGAGCATTACAACGTAAATTCAAGCCAGAATAACTTCCCGTCAGAAATGAAACTCAAAGTATTTGGAATTAATTAATATACAACACTTTGTTGTGCCCATTTTCACTAAAATACTTCTCATATTCGAATAACAGCTATAGTTCCCTTGTTAAATAATTTAACGCTCTCTAGAGTTTAAGCTCCGTCAGTCCATAAATAACATTCATGTAATATGAATACCTTAAAATAGATATGTTAAATCATACAACATCCATTTTTTAACTAAAACCCCCAAAAAATTATTATTTTTGATAGATTTGATTTCTTTTCATACGAATGTTTAAATGACGTTTTCAAATATAGTAGATTCCTGGAACTTTATCAGAAATATATATGATTTATTTAGATATTAATCAAATATTTACTTTAAAATGTATGTCCTAAAAAACCCGAACACTCCATACATTTTTGATGAAATTCCAAGAAATTACTATGTTTAATAGATTTAAATTATTCTTCAAGTAACAAAACACTCTGTTTTTCCATTAGTTTTGCTTGGAGGAGGAGGAAGTGTGGCGTTGCGTTTTGTCGTGGGCCAAATACCAGGCAGGAGTCACTCAACCCACTGCCCATTGGACTGAGGAGGAGAGAGCGCGGGTCTGCCAACATTTAAGCGGTGTAATGGGTCACGTACGACTGCTCCTCATCGATAGCCAAGTTTTTGCGGAGGAAGTGGAGCCCACTGGAGCTGTACCTATGGAGCTATCTCTCGAACGCTATCGTTATGCCGCTCTGCATGCTAACAAAATGATGGATAACGATAAAAGAATTCAGCCCCGTTTAACTGTAGCGGTCAATATGTTTCCTGGTTCCCAAATCTTGAAAAATGACAAACTACCACTACAAACAGTACTTAATAATTGGTTTGGCATGCCCAAACAATCCTGGAGATTGGTTTTCCGAGCGTCCACACATGGCTTCGATTCGGGGTCCTTTCATCGTTATTGTGATGGCGTGGCTCCCTGCATGGTTATTGGCCTGGGATCGCATGGAGAGATCAGTGGTGGCTTTACGGATGTGGCCTGGACCAAAACGAGTCGGAAGGGTGGTTACGTCCAATCCGAGCGGGCCTTTCTTTTTGCCCTGAACCCTGCCAATGGGGAACAGCCAGTCAAGTTCGATATAGTAAAGAAACCATATGCCATCTGCTACCATCCTGAGTAAGTAAAATATTATTGCTTGACGAAACGGTCTAATAAAATGTATGTTTTCTTTTTATATAAAGCTTTGATAAAAGCATTCTTTATAAAAGACATTTTAAAAGCATACCAAAGAAAAATAAATATAAATTTAGTGGTTTTTTTTAGCTTAGTCTTTTTAAAATGAAAATAAATTTTACATTTCTAAATTGGATGCTGAATTAAGCAAGATATTATTCAATAGTTATTTCTTAGGCATTAATGTAAATGTTGTTTTTTTTTAAATTTTAAACATGAATACAGATTTTTATGCGGTATTTTGAATTGAAAAGATACGTAAAATTAAATAACTAAACTTGTGACGTACTTCTCTTTTTTAATTTTTTGCACTTATGGGTAAGGGATGTGTAATGTTTTGCATCAAACGAGCATTTGCCATATAAAGGGTTAGTTAGTTCTGTATTTAACCTTAAACATGTGACTAAATTACAACTCTAAATGTATTTTATAGTTGTGGTCCCATTTTTGGAGCTGGAGCGGATTTGCTTATCTCCAGCAACTGCAATACAAACATGGATTCCTATTCAAATCTTCCGCATTCCTACGATGGAGCCAATGCTGCACACCTGACTCTCTTCGGGGACTACAACTTCACCATCACTGACTACGAGGTATACACCATAGCCTCGCCAAGTGGGAGTGCCGGTAGTGGAGCAAGTAACAGCAGCAATCACAGCCAGAACCTTTCGGCCAATGGACAAGCTCCTGGAGTGCCCACAAAGGCCAAGTACGATAGGTATTAGAAACCGGAGAGAAAACTTGTAGTTGCATCAGCTATGCTGGCAATAAAACTATTTCCTCGAACGATCCAAAACACTCGAATATTGTAATCCCAGATCCGCAACGGCTGGGCTAATGGCATTAGGTGTCGGGTTCATGACTCCGCCCAAGGTAAAAACCAGAAATCGAAAGGTAATTAATGAATTGTTATATAAAGAAAACTATTTTGGCGGCTGTCTTGACTTCCATCCAGACGCCAAGAATCGAACCAAATTAATTAACTGGTTTCCCACTTGTATGTAAAGCTTAAAGTGTTACCAAAAAATACAAAAAAAAACTAGAGGGTAGCTCGAGGAGTTGATAGTTTTCGCAGAATAAATACTTGAACATGGTGCCAGGTACCTGGCGGTCACTTTAGCTATTTTTCATGAAATCTAGATTTTATGACATTAAACGAAAAATAAGTTTAAAAAAGAATGGATGATCTGAGTTATTTAAATGCTTTGGATCACTGTTTTTTTTTAAACAGGTTATTTTTAAAAAGTATTAAAAAATTGTATATTTAAAATATAAAAGTATTTTTAATTGAGTAAATCTAAATATCTGTAATACATGAAATACAAATGTTATTATGACATAATATGTATACATCCCTATCTTATTTTTCGTTTCTGATAACTATTACAAATTTTCCCTAAAAAAAACACTTTTTTAATTTTGCTTAACGAAAACTGTGTGATTTTACATTTTTTTTTTACTATTTAAGTAGTCAAAGCACTATGTTTCCCTTCAGAACGTTCATTAACTCATGGCTTTGCTCTCGCAGTGACTGCTCCACATTGTTACAGATATAAATCTGTCTATATAATAGTTATGAATGTGCACTTGAACCTGGTCCACACCTCTCGAATAGTGGAACAATTGACAAAGAAAAACAAATGCGTAAATGGCAATTTCTGTTGCTGTTCCAATTCACTTCACAGTCGGGCTTAAGCCATAACAATGTTGAGCTATAATGAAATCTGCGGCAACACCTCCCTAACAACCCCTCGTCGGAAATGCTGAATGCTGAAGTTGCTCGCGACTGGTTTTCAACTACTTTTAAAAATGCTTCTGATAAATTGGTCCACGCTCTAAATTGGTTCTAATTAAAGCTTTTTTATGCTGATCGAATCGATCAACATCGATGGCCTGGGCCCCCACATTTTTGTCATTCGTTTCGACCTGGGGATTGGAGATCCAAAACCGAAACCCCGAAAAAAATACCTAGAGAGAACCCTCGACAATGGCAGCCAGCAACAAACACTTGATTTTGTGGCGTTTGGCGTTTTATTTGATTGTGGCTGCACAACGGATTGTCAGTTAAAATTTGTTAACGACTTAAGGCCACAGCTCGAGAGCCACCTTTCGATAAGGTCTTAAAATTGTTGCCGGCGCTGTTTCACTTCTCTTTGACAGACGACAAAAGACCCGGGGCGATTTAATATCCAGGTCCAGGCGCTAGAAGGAATGTCATTTCAGTTCGATTTTGCGTCAAATTATTTGATTGTCGAGTGGATTTTTTGGCTTGGATTTCGGAGCCATGAATTCGTTATGCTCCATGTGCTGGCAGGCTAAATCCGACCAAGAAGTTTCAATGTCTGTCGCATGAAAAGGGAAAGGCAAAAAACTATAACTAACGCTTGAAGCTGTTTTTTTTTCGTTTAATCTGAACTATGTGCAAACTTGTTCTGGCCTTATTAAATCGGTTCGGTTCAAATTGCATCTGGGCTTGCAGCATGTGAGCAGAGAGACTAGGGACGGGCAGGAAGTGCCTGTGTATGAATCATTTGCTTCCTCAAATGGGTCAAACTATAAACAGTTTTTATCGCTCTTT